TGTCAATCATCATCTGTGTGTTTGAGTGCAATTGGTTGCCCGTTCCCAGCAAGAACTTGGCGGTGGCCAAATTTGCTGTGAGGTGTGTCGTAGCTTCATAATCCAAAACCCATGATGATTCGAGTTGTAATATTTTGTTGATAAATGCATATTCGAGGTTGGAGCAATGTCAGCAATGAGTGGAGTAGTGATCGAATTTGCTGCAAATTTGACGCACAACAAGGGAGCGAGAGGTGGTGCGGCTTGATTTGGTGGGGCTTGATGGTGATGAAAATTTTTCACCTCTCTCGCGCGATGAATGACCTTGTCTTCCACGGTACATGTTGGGGATTCATGGTTGTCTCTAATTTTTGCTTATCCGTTGTTTAATTGATGTCCTCACTGCATAGCAAGCATAGAAGTCGTCCAACTCGATGGGTTGTAATTGAGTGCAGATTGCCGTCTTGAATGACTGATAGTTTGCCAGAAGACTATTCAATTTATAGAGAATGATATCCTCGTCATCTAAATTTCCACCAGCAGTAGAGATATTATCAATCAAAGATTTGATAGCGGAGAGACATTGATTCATGGTTTGGGTAGTCATGGAGAGGTTATGGAGCTCATTTTTCAACTGAATAAGTCGCGAGCGATTGGTCGGTTGGATGCGCTTGGTTATGGTATTCCAAATTTCGGCAGTGGTGGGCAGGTGGAGTACATAAGACAAGATCGTCAGAGATATAATTGAAAAAAAAACCACCATTAAGTTTTGATCTATGAGAATCCAACTAGTATAGTGGGCATTAGGCATTGGAATATCGTCGGTGGAGGGAAGGAGTTTCAGCGAACAAGGGATGCTGCATTGTAGGAACTCGATGAAGCCATTATTCTTGAATGCTTTGAAGATTTGAGCTCTCCAAATGAGATGGTTGTTGGAGGATAGAAGTTTTTGCGTAAAATGATGCAAGTTGTGTAAGAAGAACTTTAATGTGGGAGATATGACGGCGGTCAACAATAAATCCAGGAATGGGGAGTCCTGAGTTTTGGATTGGGGAGAAGTAGACATTTCAGTGGAAAGGGTTGAGGATTTTTGGATTGGGTGGGATTGAGAGAAAGGGGGGAAGAGAGTAGATGAATTCTTACTCATGAGGAGAATCAGATCACCACCGCCTATGTAACTATACCCTTCGACATCACCGGAGCTCGATCAAGAAGGTGCCCAAAATTCCTTGCTTAATGCTTCTTGAGGAGGATCGAGTTGCCAGCTACATATGGAACCGGGTCGAATGACTTTGACATCTTCTGAGCTCTTGATCGGAGGAGGAGATTGGATCGAGGGAGATGCCCAAAATTCCTTGGGCACTGCTCTGATACCATAAAGACAAAGTATAATGGCTCCAATCAATGATTCATTCCATTCACCTCAGTACATAATGCTTGGTTACAAATTACTTCATATTATCTAAGTACCTCTATAGGTGGTGGAGTATGACTCAAGCTATTATTCCTTATTCTATATCATTCTAACTACCTCTATACTTTTTTCAGATAAATCTTCATATAAGAAAGCATTGTTATTTGTTAACGTCTACTTGATGAGTATCCAATTGTTTTTGCAGCCATGACAATGAGCATTTTAACCATAGCTATCTTGATAGCAATTGGCCCCTCTGAATTTAATATTTTAATGCAAAGGATAGGCACTTTGATATTTCTTATGAATTTTTTATAAGAAAATCCTGGTAGAATCTCTCTCTCTCTCTTTATTTTTTAATTATAGTTAATTTATGATATAATTTATATTTTACTCAGGTAAGAAATTTGAAACAAGAGATCCTCGAACAGGAGATGTGATAACAGAGGTGGCTGAAGGTGATAAGGAGGACGTTGACCTCGCTGTTAAGGCGGCGAGGGAAGCTTTTGATCATGGCAGCTGGCCTCGCATGTCTGGCTTTGTAAGATTTCTCTCGCTCTCTCTCGTGCTCTAATGCGTAATCGGAAACAGATCAAAGATTCCCAAGGTGTCTGGTTCGAGCGCTTACTTGATCAAAAGAAGGGGCATTTACATACATAACACACAATTTTTATAT